CTTATACTTACTGTAAAGGCTATGTCAGGTATAGTGTGTGATAAATAGATTATTTTGCTAAGCAACCTCTAATACCTCTCCATTTCAACTAATTTCCCTGCATCATCCATCCTTCCAGCTTCAATTGGTGTCACTTGGCTTAAAGCGAGCATGCTTGTTTCAGTTAGGAGGTCAAAGACATTTTCGATGAGAAACACTAATCCCCTTCTTCGATCCAGCCACCTCAATTCCAAAGAAGTACTGCATTTGTCCCATATCCTTAACTTCAAATTCAATGGCTAAGACCTTCAATCTTCCCATTTCATCGATATCATCTCCAGTTAGGATTATGTTGTCCACATATACAATCAATATTATCTTCTTCCTTTTTTTTTTGCTTGTAGAACATAGTGTAATCTAATTGTCCATGACGATAACCATCCCTTTTATCACCTTTGAAAATCTATCAAACCACACTTTAGGAGACTGTTTGAGTCCATACAAGGACTTCTTCAATTTGCATACTTTATTCTCTTCTCCCTTTTTACATAAACCTAGAGATAGCGTTACGAAAACCTCCTCTAAATCGAGATTCAAGAAAGCATTCTTTATGTCGAGTTGTTGAAGTAGCCAATTTAGGTTGGCGGCCAAGGACAAGAACTCCAACCGTGTTCAATTTAGCCACGGGTGCAAAGGTTTTTCTCTAATCAATGCCGCTGGTTTGAGTAAATCCCTTCGCAATAAGATGAGCTTTGTACCTCTCTACCATCTCATCAACTTTGTGCTTCACAGCAAACACCCATTTGCAACCCACTGTTCTCTTACCGTGTGGCAAATTCATCACCTATCAAGTTCCATTTTTTTCAACGTCCTCATTTCCTCCATCATAGCTTCTCTCCACTCAAGAATCTCCAATGCTTCCTAGATATTCTTAGGAATTTTCTCATTGTCATGGTTAGAAGTAAAAATATGCTATTCTGTGGACAAGGCATTTCCTCCATCAGAGCTTCTCTCCACTCAAGAATCTCCAATGCATCCTTCTACTATAAGCTTCATTCTATAACCAAAAAAGAAGTGGAAGAGGATGATGGTGCGATAGAATCAGTGTTTGGGACAAGATCGGTATTTAGGGAAACATACAGTACATATTGTAGATGGTTCTATATCCACTGTTTTCGAAATTTGATCTATTATTATCTCTAAAAATATTGTTCTTAGTTTTGTCCTGTTCAATCCAAACCTGTCTTGCAACCCATTATCAATTAGCAAACTCACAAAAGATCTCAAGTGTATTACTAAATTCTTTCCTACTCATTGCATCTTTCAAGACCAAGATTCTGGAAGTATAGCAATGCTGAAGAGTGTGTCGGATGGCCTCCATCCCTTCAAGGCAGGCAATGCTTCTGGAAACCAAACTCGGGCAACTCAATGCACTACTACACCAGCCTTAAAGAGTGAATCCAATAGGGATTCGGTGTCTTTTTATGTTCCGACCCATGACAATAATAGTGAAATCATGTTATGGCACTTCAAATCGGATCATCCTAGCTTTACGTATCTGTCAAAATTATTTCCATCATTATTTATTCATAAAAATCCGAGTTTGATCCAATGTGAAATTTGTCAATTTGCTAAGCACACAAGAAGTTCATTTCCTGCACACAGATATCAACCTTCACATCTATTTTCAATTGTACAGTGATATTTGGGGTCCCTCTAGGGTTAAAAACATTTCGGGCACATGATGGTTTACACTTTTGTCGATCAACAATTAGAGTAGAGTCAGTCAGGTATTTTTTATGAAAGAAAAATCTTGGGGGTCCAACTCTCAAGAAATTTCACTCCATATTCAAAATCAATTCCAAGCAAATATTCAAGTTTAGAGAATTGAGAATGCCACGGATTATTTCAACTCCATCCTTGGTACTTATTTTACTGAGAATGGCATAATCCATCAAAGTTCATGCATTGATACCCTACTAAATGGGAGAGCTGAATGTAAAAATCATCACCTTCTAGAAGTTGCCCGTGCTCTCATGTTCACATCTAATCTTCCAAAGCATTTCTGGGGAAACGTTGTCCTCACTGCTGCATACCTGATTAATCAAAGGCCCTCTCGTGTCCTCCAGTTCTACACTCCGAGTCAAATTCTCACCAAAGCATACCCAACCACACAACTCATCTTCAAATTACCAATAAAAGTCTTTGGGTGCTTGACTTTTGTCCATGTTCCACTACATCTTCGCAGTAAACTCTATTCAAAGGCCATTAAATGTGTGATTTTTAGGTATTCTCCTACTTAAAAAGGGTACAAATGTTATTCTCCAAAAAAGAAAAAATTCTATAACACTATGGATGTAACATTCTTTGAAAATCAATCTTTCTACCCAAAACTCATATTCAGGGAGAGAATTCCGGCATTAGAAGAGGAGAAATTATTAGTTTTAGCAACTAGACCCCATCTCAGCTATAGCTATACCACCTGAGCCAACTACATCCATATCACCCGAGCAAACCTTGCTCATTCCTCCAAAGTCTCCAATCGAACCAGTAGAATCTGTCCTCAAATCTTCGACTCTAAGTGTAGGTGAAAAAGGCCAAAAACTCCAAGTTTACTCCAAAAGGCCGAAAACTGACAAAGGGGTAGAATATCCAATTCTTCTCAGGCATGGCCAAGCTTCCAATCCAAGTTATAACCATGTGGATTCAAGTAACATCGAAAGTCCATTGGTTCTATTTCCTTATCATATGAAGATCTTGAGGTTCCCATTGAAGGAGTCAGGTCTTGTACTCAGCACCCCATATCCAATTTCTTATCATACAATAGTCTCTCACCTGTATACATGCCTTTATCTCTAGTTTGTCGTTTATAGAGATTCAAAACAATGTTCAAGAGGCTACAAAATGTCCAAAATGGAAAGAGGCCATAAATGAAAAAATCTGAGCTCTCAACAAAAATGGCACATAGGTTTTCACGGAACTTCGAAAAGGAAAAAGACAGGTCAGATGTAAATGGATCGTCAATGTGAAATACAATACAAATGGAAGATTAGACGAGTTCAAGGCCACGTTAGTAGCGAAAGGCTACACTCAAACATACGGAATCGACTATCAAGAGACATTCGCCCCTATTGCCAAACTAAACACAATTAGGGTCCTCTTATGAAGGGCCTCAAACTTAGGCAAGCCACTTCACTGGCTAGACATCAGGAATGCCTGGGACCTAGAAGAAGTCTACATGGAGATTCCACTCGGGTTTGATAGCAAGAAAAATTCCAGCAAAGTGTGTAAATTGAAGAAATCATTCTATGCATTGAAACAATCACCAAGAGCATGGTTTGAATGATTCACAAGGATTGTGAAGAAATATGGTTACTTACATCGACAATCTCACAATACTCTCTTTATCAAACACTCACCTGATCGGAATCTCACTCTTCTCATGTATATGAGGACGACATCATTGTCACAGGAAACAATCATGACGAGATGAGCCGGTTAAAGTCTATTATTGCATCAAAATTTGAGATTAAGGATCTCATAAATCTAAAATACTTCCTCAGCATGGAAGTAGCCCGCTTAAGAAGGGAATGACTATTCCCCAAAGGAAGCGCACTCTTGACTTGCTTAAGGAAACAAGTATGCTCGGCTGCAAACCGACGGATACTCCTATGGACTCAATATGTAAGATCAGGATGAAGGAATGTAGCGCTTCAGTCGACAAAGGAAGATATCATCAACTAGTGGGAAGACTAATTTTTTTGTCTCACACAAGACTTGACATCGGATTCTGTGCGAGTGTTGTTAGCCAATCCATGAATAATCCAACTGAGGAACGTATGAAAGTTGTATACTAAATACTCAGATATTTGAAAATAACACCACGCAAGGGACTATTCTATCAAAAGAGGAACAATAAGAGCATTGAAGTCTACTCGGATGCAAACTGGGCAGGTTCCATAACTGACTGCCGATCCACTTCTAGTTACTACACCTATGTATGAGGAAATTCAGTCACTTGATGGACAAAAAAAAAATCTGTGGTAGCTAGGATCAATGCAAAATTTGAACTTCAAGCAACGTGCCTTAGAATATGCAACGTAATATGGCAAAAAGGACTCCTAGATGAACTAAAGATCAGATGTGATTACCCAACAAAAATGTATTGTGACAATCTAGCCGCTATCATCATAGCTAAATATCCAAATCATGATAGAACAAAGCATATGGAGATTGACAGACACTTTGTCAAGGAGAAAATAGAAGCGAGAATCATCAAGATGATCTATACTCCTACACATCTTCAGACTGCAGATATACTTACAAAGACCCTTCCAAGAATCAACTTTGACCACCTAGTTTCCAAGCTAGGAATGATTAATATCTATTGCCCAGCTTGAGGGGGAGTATAGAATTTAGGAGTTAATTCTGTAGGGTAGACCCCAAGTGATCTCGGGTTGACTTTCACATGTATCATGTGTATTTCTTTAATTATGTTTAGCTATCCTAGTTTCATATTTTTCTCTGATTTGGTTAGATATGTTTGTTTCCTAAAATAGAGGCTAGAATCAAGGAATGTGAATCAACCTGTTATTTCTCATCCTATACTTGTATATATTCAGCATTCATTCTCTGTGATTAATGAAACAAGTCGTTTCACCATTTTATTCTAAAGAAATTCATACTAGAAAAGGAAAAAAGAAAGAAGATAGTGGAAAAAAAATTGACCAAAAAAACAAAAGAAAAAAAGGAAGGCAAAAGATGGGAGGAAGAATGGCAACGGTCAAGAGTGGACTGGGCTGATCTTGAAGACAAATAGTAAGCGAGGTTTAAGAAGACAGCAATCAAACATTCATCTTGAGTTTGATTCATTAACACGGAAATGGTTATAGAAACATTTACTCAACCACAGATCTGATAAACAGAGAAAAGATTTACCACAAGGAGGATATAAGAAGAATGGATGCAATGCCTGATTAAATCCAATAATATTAAAGGCAACATTGTGTTTGCCATCTTACACGTCTCCTCAAAAGAATGGGCAACACTTGCTCCAGATAATATTCAGGTTCTGATTTTCGTGGAACCCGCATGGTATATGGTGGTTTTTCCATTGACCTCATGAAATTTTCTGGAACCCTTTTAACAATGGGGACATCCTTCGCAATGTAAGAGATGAACCAATCAACATCAAAAATGTCAGAGAAGTCACTGCACATGGACAAGAAATCTGGATAAGAAAAGATGTTAAACTTAAAACGGTGTATTGTGATACAATGAAAAAATCATAAAATCATGGATTTAAATTATAATTCCTTAACCATTGAGTTTGTGGGATACCATGACTAATATTCAAATACTGTCTTTCTTCAATGAGTAAAAGTAAATGAAATCTGGTGCGGAAGCATTTAGAAATTCTTATAATAAGAATTGAAAATAAGAATTATATTGGAATAATCTCGTTTTGTATTGATATATGATTGATTGATTAAAAAGTGTACAATACCCCTATATTTATAGGTCAAATTATCCCTAATCCTATTAATAAAAGGAAATTAAAATAA